AAACAACTCAGTGTGACATAGCGCCATGCGCTGAGTACACAGGCGACCAGCGTGCCCGTTGGAAAGTCGAAGCCAGGTCGCAGCCTTCATGGCGTTGGGTACGATATACCAGTACCACGCCTCCACGCGGCGGTTTGTCTACCCACTTGGATGTTCAACTCACGCCAGTAAAGCAAGTAAGATCGATGGTTTTATCTGGAATATCTGGGGTTAGTCCACATATAACTATCGTCAGTGGTTGAACATACAAGTACCTTAAGTCAAATGTGGGGCATCCCCAAATTCGCAGTTGGTCTTCCAACCGCAAAGTGGGAAACGGAAGTGTGGGGTCGAAAGTCCCCAATTTCATGATAAAGCGGGTAGGGGTGATGTCTTTGTTCGGAGAAAATGGAGACATCGGCTCAACCGCACTCATCGAACCGCCCAGGACCATGGATTTTTACCCCTGCACTACGCCCAAGAAGCAAAAAGGTTGGCATACCCCAAAGAGGAATCCACCCTTTTGGATCTTTGCACCCTCAACATTAATTGGTGTTTTGAGGGCTCAGAAACCTTTAAGACCTGGGGCAGCACCAGTCTGAGGGGGCAACAGTAACTCCATTATTCAGCGTACAAGGTTGGCACTCGGCTGCATTCCAATAAAATTGGGTCAAGATTGATCCTGGATCAAGTGACCCGCAAGAAAGCAAACCAAATCACGTGATCGCATTGCACAGAACTGCGCCTGAGCCCAACATCGGGCAAGCCAAGCAACACACTGGGTATATGTTTTGGGCATCACCAAGTTCATAGACACAACCACAGACCAAAAGTCCACTCGAGCTTGAACCATTGAATGGGGTTGCGGGGTACTTTGCTTCACGAACTATATCCAGATAGGACAATACTGTTCGTACTGGGTGTGTTTGTTTTGGAGTACCCCTAAAATTATGGTTTCTCTCTTGGTTATCCCTTGGCAAGTACGGGTACCCTCAAACAAGGACCCGACTGAGCCCAAATAGGGCCTTAAGAAGGCCTCAACAAGTTTGGGCTCCCCCTCCCCCCCCCTCCACCGCTTGTTTGTGCAGCGCGGGTGCGCTTGAGCGGGTGTGGGAGCGTGTGCAGTTGAGCGGGTGTGCTTGAGCGGGGTCTTGAACAATCCGCAACATGACTCAGCCGCGGATTTGCCAAGGGCAGCCCTAGTCTGGGTCAAGGGTTTGAGTCAATTTGGGCTGACATGAGGAGTTGCCAAAAGGTGTATCTATGGACTGGTTCGGCCATTCACCGCGAGCCGACGAACAGAACCAAATTTTAAAACTTTCGCATCTCAAAAAAATGTTGTGCGGGCTGCCATGTTTGTTCTGTCTATGTATATATATATATATATATATATGTATATGTAAAAAAGGAAGACACACATGGCTTCTCTGAAATACCTTTTTGCGGGGCTGATGCCTAAAACCTACTTATCCGGGAGCTTCTCAAAATGGTGGACCCCTTTGGCATTTCAAGGGAGCCAAAAGGAATCCAAGCATTTAAAGGGATCTTTGGGTGTTTTGATCATGAACTTCCCAGCCATGGTTCTTTGGAGCCTGCCATTCTGGCGGGATCCAAGGGGCACTAAAGGAGTCTCCTTTGAGGAGTCTCGTCTACATCTGCACAGAATTCTCGGAGCATAGCTGCTTGATTGGAGGTGGGATATTTCAACAGAAATAGCGCAAACCAAAAGTGAGAAAGTGCTTTTTTTTCTGCGTGGGCCCCAAAACACGCTGATTCAGCAGAGGCGGCTGGCACCACAAAGACGATGAGAACGGCAGCAACCAGTCCTGTCCTGCCAGGGCAACACGAGCTCTTCAGGTTGCCTCTGACTCGGGGCTCGGTAGTCACCTCCGGTTGAACTACTTCCATTTGCCTTAAGCCCACTGGAAAAAAAACACATATTTCCAGTAGTGACAGATATTCCATTTAAACCAACAGGGGAAAATGACTAAATATTGTTATGCAACTGGAAGACTCCAAAAGGAACCTTTCAGGGATAGAACACCTAGCTGTTTCGGAAGGAACCTGAGACATGTATATGCACGTGCCAAGTCTTGCAACGGCCAGCAGCGACGGCCTCGTCTTACGGGACATCCAACAAAACGTCTCGAGACCTATTGCCCAGCTACACGATTCGCACAAGGCGTGCAGCTTTCTTGACGTGCATCAGCCCAACGTTCTCGCCCTTCGCTCTTTTCGAGGCCCATGCAATCATGAAACCCTTTGCCGCTGGCCATGAGGCTTCGAACCAAAGTCTTGAGCGAACTCCGGGCACAGTTTCAACCAATCAATGAGCGAACTCTGTGTTTTTCTCCGCCCTGGCGGGAAGTTCTGAGAGAGAGATCCAGTTCTGGATGGCTTGTGCATATGTTGCCTGAAGATATGCGTTGCGCTGCATAATCTGAATCGGTGAATCTGAATCTAAACAAATCTAAAGATGCAGCTTGGGTCCCAGGATATATATATATATATATGGCTTTGGCTCAAAATTAAGGAGCCAGGGTTACGCAGGTTTTACTCTTTGGTTCCATTTACCAAGGGGGCCGAAATGGTACCCATTTATTTGAGCCACAGCATAAAGCTTTGGGGGATCGATCCTTCGGAAGCTTTTGCCATTGGGGAGTCCTCCACCTTTTGGGGGACAACTTTCTGGAGATGTACCTGATCGCTCTCCCCGGATCTTCCTGAGCCTGGCTCTGGCGCTATTGAAATGAGCCCCCGGGAAACCCAGCCACCGCCATTCAAGGATCCAAGTCAGGCGTCTTTGCTTTTGGAGGCCAGGTCCAGACCATCCTCCCGGATAGCCCACTTTGCTCTTAGGATGGCACAACTTCCCAGCTTTGGGCAAGTGAACGTCCAAGTGTGTCAAAGAGAAAGAAAGAACAAAAACATCACGAGAGAGAGAGAGAGAGAAACAACGGCGTTCCTTTGGGTTTCCCTTTCAAACCAAGCCGAAAGGGTGCAAACCACAAAAATAAAGACACACACTGGCCATGGGTCCAAATCCTGCACCCCCAGTGAACATCCCAATCCCCCGCAAAAATGGGATCCCATTGGATTTGTTGACCCACAGCCACATGACTGAGCGATTTGTGTTCTCCCCTAGACTTCGAATCGGACGGTCCCGATCACCGGATGGCTGTGGAAGAGTGGCACCGTCTCTGCCACCGTCTCGTGGGCCGTCTCAAAGGCCTTGTCCCAGCCTCAAACTTACCGAAACCCGCCCGGCGATTCCAGGCGATTCGCATCTTTTTTGCGCTACTGGGAGGTTGGAGCCTTAAACCCGGTTTCCGGAACCCTGCCCGCAAAGTGCATCTTGAGGGATCCTCAAAAGGACTTTTGGAAGGTCGCTTTCCTTGGTCAGGAGGATGCCACAGAATCCCTCGGCCCGAGGCCCCAGACTTCTGAATTGGTCCTTCGGGGGCCGGACGGCTACTCTCACTTGCAAAACACCTGGAAAGAAACGGTCATCACCTTTCCTGTCGCGACTATAAAGAACAATGAACCAACATGAAAACGCAAAAGGTAAAAACAAAAACGGTTGATTCACGTTGGGCCTCGAAATTACTCTCAAAATGGCGGATTGAAGGGGAAAATAACACCCGCCCTGACTCAGCCTTGGGGAGAAGAATCTGCCAAACATCCGACGGCTTGTCCTACAAGGCAGACTACCCTTCCGGCTTTTCAAGGGATGAACATAGGCGAACTACTATCTTAGTTCTTCGTGGATCCCCCTGCTGAAAGTCGACATTTTGAGTGGGATATGTCATGAATCCCGGATGGCTGGGAACCTCAATACTTCACTCGAACAGGCATCCCTGGCTTCACCAAGATCAAAGGACATGGGCAACAAGAAAGGGGCTGACTTTTCAGATACGCTTCTCAGCATGTTGAATACCATAAGCATCCTGGGGATGCTTGGAACCTGACGTTTGTGATGGACCTTTGGCATTTGGATGTTGAAAGGGACATCAAAAGGAGTACCAGTTTTGGGGCCCTGTACACCCAAACTGAATTCCTGAGAAGTGCAACTGATTCATAGCCGTGCTGTGCAAGGCCTGGAAGTCAACCCCTGACCTTAGACATCATAACATCAGCCTCCCCCCTCCCCGTGTTTCCGTAAAATAAGCTGGGATTTGCAAACCTGACGATTGACCAAGCTAGGAGGAACCACTGAAGAAAACAAAGCAATGCGGAGGAATTCAAAACAACAACAAGAGGAACCCACACGAAGACAGAACCACCAAAGCAAATCAAGCCAAACTAATGCGTATTCCCTCCTAAGACCAAGAAAAGTAACGGCGCTTCGATCGCTTTCATGTAAACCAGGCCCCTCAACCATCAACCCCCCCAACTGATTCCAATACCAACGGGTTCCATGATAGGCTGGCGCCCTTTGGCCCGCCAACGCGACAACCATAGGATGATCCCTCAGGGGGATTTCCGGTCAGCTCAGGGAGCTGGCCGCCCGGTTTCCCATAGCAAACCAAGAGCCCAGGAAAACTTGCTGGTGCGAGAGATGCAGGGAATGAGAGGCCTGGAATGACTCCCAAAAACACAATGCAACATTTGTGGCTTCCTTTCAGGGAATCCAACCAAAACCGGTTCATTCCCAACACCCGGACTCGGTCATTCCCTGAGCACGCGATCCCAAGCAAGCCAACCGGTGGACGGTGCTGCTTCTTTGGCTAAGGCCCGGGCAAATACCCACCAGCATACCGAAACCCGAGATGATGGTCCTGGCATGGGAACCCTTTTGCTGGATGCGAGGGGCAAACATGTGGCACCCACATGGACGTGTTTTCTTGGGAAACCCCTTTGGGTTTAAAGGGAAACCAGAAGGAAACCTATCGCTTTTAGGGATTCGCCAATTGTGAGACACACCCAAATCGAAAAGAAGTTGCTCTCCACTTCTGAACGTCCGAGTGATGGTCGACTGTTGCGAAGTGGCAGTATCCTGTGATCTTTACTGCTGCGGCTTGGATTGAAACTCGATCCGTTCAAAAGCCTCAGGCAATCGGAAATACATCATAGGTGATAATGAAGGGACTTTGCTGATGGCACACTCATCTCTCCAAAACTTCCGGAAGCATGGTGCAAAGCTCACAATCAAGCACTCAAATTGTGATAATTCCAAAACTGGAAATCAGGCATGGGCGAATTCCTCGTCCATTCTCTAGACTCCAGGTAGCTTCTTGCTGTTCTGCACCAAGGTCGACCAACATAATCTCAACACCATTTGGGTGCGTCTCAAAATAGGGACATCACCTATTTTGAGACACACCCAGTTGGATTCCAAAAGAGCTTGACTTCGTTTCAACCCGGGTGAGAAACAACCGACGGGCGAGCAACGGGTTCGAACCTTAGGTACTTGGAAAGATTGGGGTCGAACATCCTGCAAACGGTTGCGCTTCCCCAAAATCAGATGCGTTCCCCGCGAGGCAACGCAGGGAAAGGGGGGAAAAGAGAGGGCAGAAAAGAACAATGACAACTGCAAATAGCAAGTCCTGATCAATCAAAGGCATTCCGCTAAAAAAAACATCACGTCCAACCACAAGAAGGGGTCAACTTACCCCTACTCAACGCGGAGGAGGTCTTCATGAAGTCCCAAACATCATTTTGACAGGGCTTGCTATGTTTCTGCCTTAAAATGTTTCTGCCTCAAACCTCATCTGACATAGCTTCGACCGGTGATGTTAGCAATGGCTGACAAGGGCCATTCGAACAGTTCAGGAGTTTTACTTAGTGACAAGGAAACCCGTTGTGACGGGGTCATGTTGAATCCTTGTAGCAAGTGGTACACGTCGGATACCAAGATTGTGGTGAACCAGGCAGTAGACCCAAACTTGGATGCTTCGCCCGCACAGAACCATGGATATACTGATATGACCTACTTGCGCTCTTTTAAGTGGTTAGAAACATGCAAGTTCTAAGGAGCGCAAATGGGCGCGCCTTTTTTCAGGGTACCCTTTTTCTCTGGTTGAATATAAAAACCAAAGAAAAAAACCACCATTTTGGGGGGTCCCCAAAAAGAAGACACACCCGAACGGGGTGTTGGTCGTTACTCGATCGATCGCCGCAAGGCCGACCCGAACTGGGACGCGGGCCTCAAGCCGTCTCCCACCTTGGACAGCGTTTCCGCATCCTCAGCCGCCGGCGAAGTCCCATGTCGGCTTAGTCATCCATTCCCTAGGTCCTCCAGTAGAGAGGATAGAATAAGGGTACCCATTTTTTCTCTGTAGTCGATTTTAGCAGGGGAACCAGGGTAAAAGGGCACTACTGGGGGACCATGTTTCTAGGGGTTGATTCCTTTTCCATTCGTTTCAACCATTCTTTTCAAAAACCAGCTGTTTCCCCTGGGGTTCTGATGGTTTTCTGAAAAGAAGGATCCTGAAAAGAATGGAGAAGTGTCCCCTAGAATGTTGGTTTAGTCATCCATTCCAAGGGAATTGCGATCCAACTTTCACCCTGCTGCCTGCCATTTTTGGTTTCGTGGTTGGGGTCATAGGTAGAGAAAAAGGGCGTGTGGCACTGCACAAATGCAAGACGCCCAATAGGTAGCTCTCCCCTCGCCGGACATCGTCCAGCCAAACCCTCCATCACCTAGCGGGAGGGACCCTTGACGCTGAGAGCACCTGATTTCTTATGGCCATGGATTTCTCCAAGCGCATCAAAAACCTACCGACGGGACTGGCCCTTTGGCGAGCCAAAGGAAAGGCTCGGATATGAAGAAACCATTGATAAGCAACCGGACCACTAAAATAGCCAGCAAAGTCAAATGGACAAGTACCCTTTCGCATGTGGTTATACTCCATCCCAACAAGGGTTGCTGAACATGATGCAGAAACAACATAGACCCCTGCTTTAAGAGGTCCGAGTCATGCGTGAAGGCCCAATAATTCATTGCATGCGCATCAGGGTCCGAAACATTGTTAACGCCTTTGTGAGTGTCAACTGCCAGGCAAAGCCGGTATGGCCCTATTTTGAGACATTCCCAGGAGGCTGGCAAGGCGAGCACGCAGGCGGTGCGATCGCCAGGTTTTGATTGCCTGTTTCCCATTCAAGCCGCCGAACAAAACTCTCAACAATGACATACCCAGGCAAACAACAGGTGAATTTGTGCAGAAGTACATGCTCCAGTGTTGGATGAAGGATCCGCACAACTGGAATTCACCTGGTGTGGCGCACTGAAAATGCCCCCCTTATCCCTGGGCGCGAGCTCGTTTCACCCCTAGGATGACATTCGCGCGCACACAAAGATCAGTGATGGAGCATCAGTTCAAGTACATAGACGCTTCTGTCTTCACAGGCCAGCCAATAAATGTCCGAATGGTTGAAGCCGACACCAAGGCTTAAAATTATGCCTAACTTTGAAGCCCCAAGAAAACTGTCAAACCAATGTTTTCTGCTAAGACGCGGCGCGACGCTGCTTTCTACCAGGGAATCCCTTGTTGGAGTTGATGCCGTTGGGGAACGACCCAA